AACAAGAGACAAATTGAGACGAACAAGCCGGTACATTAAGTTTTTTCTGCAAAAAAGTTGATTTTTCAGATGATATAGGATATGGCTGCTACATCGCTCACTCACAATGAGATTTACGAGAGGAATTGAAGTGGATTTTTCGTCATTTTGCATATTACCGTCATATGCACAGGGTTGTCAAAATCACCAGCACTTTGTAGCAATACCACGATGAGACCGAAAGAGTTATGGACAAAAGTTATGAAATTTATGGCATATAATGTTGTGATAGGTTTCTATAACGCTTGGTACTTATGATTCTGTAACGAAGTATCTTCTTAAAGATCTTACAAAGAATTTTAAAGACGCTGGGTGTGGCGCCGAATTTCGATATCAATTTCATTGGAAATAGACAAACCAAGTATAGTCGTCCTTACCCCACTAATCGCCGGATGGGCAAATTCGAATCTGAGTTTGAGCACGCCGGCTGCGGTAGAGCCAGGGGCCTGGCACGGATGGTTTGGGGTCAAACTGAACTTCGTTTTTGAAGTTAGAAGCAAAGGGGGTATCGTTTTCATATCCTGGAGGAAGCGCCAAAAAAAGCGACGAACATGTCAAGTTTTACAAGTTGAACGCCTTCTTTCACAAGCGCGCGAATTTCAAACGCAAGACTCAAACAAAGAAATGGCTTGTTTACAGCGCACAAACAATCACATGGCTCCGAATTTGGGCTATGTGTATGCCATATTACTCCAAACTATGTTATGTAAAAAGTTCCAAAAACTTATGTGTCCTAATATCATCCCGAATTTGTTGGTTTCTAAACCAACACCAAACCAACTGGGTTGGTACTATACCCAATGGCAGAGCTTTTAATTGACTCGAAATGTTACCTTTTTGCTTTCTGGTTATACAAGATAACTCAAAATGCGTTTTTTTCGCTTTTTTATTGTTATTTTGGTTGAATAAGGGCTTCCCTACTGATTTTTACGTAGAGCGCGGCTTCTTCAACCCGCAGTTCAAGCCTACTCATGCTTTCTTTTCGTTTATTCGTCGTTGTTTGCTATTTCTGTGTGTTAGCATTGTTCGTTGACGACTTTACTGTAGTTGAGGCGATGATATACCCTATGCTCTTTTTCTCTGTTTTGAGGTGAGCGACTGGGATTGAGCATTTTTCATCGTAAACTCTCTTTTGAAAGGTTATACGCAGAGTGCTGCTTTGTTGTTTTATGTCACAAAATCCCTGTCAGACTCGTTTCTGTAGGCTCACTTGGGGACTTGAAGGAACAAGGACAGCGATAGGTAGCATCGCTCAAAAACAGCAAAACCATCAGCACATAACGACAAAGAAGGACGAGGTGAAAACATGCTTCAGCTGGAACTGAGAAGTGAAGGTACCGCGCTCTTCCGCAACCGGTGCGCTCAGATTCAGATTTAAATTTGCCCACCTGGCGACCAATGGGGTGAGAGCGACTATATAAAGTATGAACGTGTCACTTGCAAATCTTTGTGACTCATGTACTTTCAGAAATTACGCGACTAACTCTCAGGGGGGGGGGGGGAGCTCATACTTCCCCCCCCCCTGCCCTCCGCCCTCAGTAAGCCACTCCTACTCAGCTATTTTTCAACGCCCCGCATGGCATGACAACCCTGTGCATTTTCAGTTCTCCCTTTTGCGTGGATGATTCTCGCTGGAAATTAGGGCTCTGGCAAATCAAGAGCTTTGGGAACAAATTGCTAACAAGGGAGGCCAGAGTAGTCGAAGTGGCCTTTAAATGAATTTTATACTATTAAGAGCATCAAGCGCTGATTCCAAATATGATTTCGTTATCTGCCGAGCGCCTCTGCATGCCGAGTTATGAACATTTTCTGGCGCAAGATATTCAGCGCTTAAATAGAGCAGTGTCAAGTATGAGTGTTTGCAAGGTATTGTTCAACTGGATTGCTCTGATTATCAACATTGAACCATTTGAGCAATTTTGACAAATTCTGTGCTAATTATGCATGCATTTTTCAACTTAAAATACGCTCATAATACGACGTCCAGAGGCGCTCGACAGGTAACGAAGGTTTTGGAATTAGTGTGCGATGCTCTTTATAGTCGTGTCGATTTCATGTGAAAAGGCCACTTCGACCAAACGGACTTCCCTTGTCAGTATACTTGAGTAATTCGAAAATTTTTCATCGAATGAATGAATATCGAATAAATTCGAAAAGGAAAAATTTCGAATAAACGAATATCGAATAAATTCGAAAATAAAAAACCTCGAATAAACGAATATCGAATAAATTCGCGGTTCAAAAATTCTCGAATGAATGAATTCCGAATAAATTCGGAAATTCAAAAATATCGGATGAATGAATATTGATTATATTCAAACATTGGGAACCAAATTTCGAATAAATATTCGAATGATTTATCGAATAACTAGAGCAACCATATCTCAAACTTGCTTACATATCTGGCTGAAGCCGATCCATTCATAACCAGCACCCTCGTATCACCTATACCAACTTCTAGCTTAAAATTTCCGAAAATCGCTGAAATCGACAAAATAGATTCCGGTTCTAATCAGCATCCTCACTTACCCCCCCCCCCCCTTGTACCAACTCCCAGCTCCGCAGCTAAGACTTCTCCGAAAATCGATACAATCGATAAAGTAAATTTTTATCCATAATCAGCACCCTCACTAACCCCCTTGTACCAACTTCCAGCCCCGCAACAACGGTGGCCACATATGTACTTAAATGCCACAAATGCTACGATACATTGCCTGTTCATCGGAGGCTTTCGTCTTGTGTAGCATAAGCTAATCGTGGACGAAGGCATGTGGTTTATCCCGCGAAGCGAGCACGATTGCCCCTAGCCCTGGGCATACTGCAGGCATTTCAGTGGCGACGCGGTTTGGCAGTAGTCATGTCCAAAACTTATTCTGAAAGTACAGAATGCACGGCATTTATCTTTTCAATAAGTTGTACACGCTAAACATTTGTGGTAAGCTGGCGTTACATCTGAAGACATCTCGTAACTGACAAATCGCGTACGACGATCTAAACCGTTTAATCCTCCACTACAACTGCGATTTTCTTTACTCAAAATACGCCAATTCGCGAAAAAACTCTAAGGTAGCGAATAGAGGCAGTTGTGCAATATAACTTATGCGAGCAAGAGTGCTCACTAGGTGGGCTTTGTGTACCACAAGCATGAGCAATCCAAAGAAAGAAAAACAGGCATTTTAAAACACTTTCAATATATGAACTCGGAACATGAGCTTGAATTTGATAGCTTCTTTGCTGATTTGGTGCCAATAGCAGTGCGAACAATCTCATTGATCGAAAAAGCATCAATCAAAATCCATATATGATTTTTTTTTACTGTCAAGCAGTCGGAAGAATGCGACTCTCCATACAGTTCAAACGTCATAACGGTTGCAAAAGATGCACTACCGAGTTTAGCGAAAAAAAAGCGGACGGAGTGAGCTTGATACTCAGCAGTTGGCTCTGCAACAAAGTCGAATAATTTGAATGCGGAGTTCATTCGAATACGAATTCGAATAAACATTCGAATAAAACATTCGGATAAAATCTGTTCGAAACCCCGTTTTTTTATTCGAGTTTTCGAATTCAGTTCGAAATCCTGTTTTTTGATTGTTCGAGTTTCGAATTTTATTCGAAACCCCGTTTACTCAATTATTCGAGTTTCGAATATTATTCGAAAATGGAAGAACTCCGAAAACGAATTTCGAATACGAATATATTCGAATGTTTTATTCGAATGACCGAATTTCTATTTGATGCGGACCCAAGTATACTTGTCAGTAATTGACAGTTGAGGTGTGACTAACTCTGAATGGCTTAAAAATCTACTCAACACTGCGGCTTGAGAAGCAGGGTAGTAAGTAGCTGAAGGTAGCGTCCAGACTTCGAATGGAATTTTTTCGCTTACCTGGGCTGATTCCTCCCGCTGATTCTAAAGATGCAGCTTGGAGAGCATGAAAATGTCGAAAACGGGCTTTTCCAGAAGCTCTCAATTTGGATTTTGCCGCCTGCGCCAAGGTTAAGATGCAGAGTCTTTTTTGGGAACCTACTCTTGACTTGTGCAGTATGCGCACTCTGGCTTATCGAACTAGTTCCTGCCGGTCGCCGGGGCGTTCCGGTCGCCACTTCTGAAGCGGATTTCTTGCTTCAGAATCAAATTGCGCATTGCCAGCTGGGCAAGAGCCCTACCGACGGGAGCCCCTGCACTCTACATTTTCGTATCTGCCCGGGCGCTGCCTTTGAGGGGATTGCCGCTTCCGAAATGTGCAGGCTACCTCGAAGAAGTCTCACAATGCGCGACTCTCAAGTGATTTCATTTTTCTGGAACGATGAGCAAGTACCTTCACAGACCGGTCAACATTTTAGAACCGCATAAAATCACGCATAAACCTTATCCAAAGTATACCTAGTAACGCTGGAAAGCTGACAAAAACTTTGGGTTATATCCAGATCCAGCACAGAAACTCTTAGATTGAGTTTGACCCAAGATAGTAGCCATTAAGACGAAAATCAAGCTTTGACCATGTGTGTCAATCATTTTCAATGTGTAATAGTGAACATGATTCTACTCCCAAGAAATTATATCAGAATACATACACTTTTGCATCTCATAGATTTTTATCATTTATCTAAACATTGATTCTATGCCCATTAGCGAGATCTTGCAGACACATTTCTATCCTCACAACTGTGCCGATTCTGTCGACACCGGCTGAGCAGTGTACTACTGTAACAGACAGATACAAATACTCCTCCGAAGAGATAAAAATTATCTAAAGGCTACTGCATGACGAAGGCGCAGAAGCGGTATTAGTTGAGCGGACGCGAACGCGGTGCGCGCGTATCCTCACCGTTGAAGATCCCGCGCCTCATGCGCTCTGCGGCTGATAAAGCCGCGTTTGCGCCCAAGGATATTGCGCCTTCGTCATGCAGCAGCGTATACGTGGCTAAGCACAGCCTCTATTTTGGCAAGAGTGTTTCAGACCGCAAAACCCAGCGATGTTGATGCAGTACCACCTGCTTTTGACGAGATCAGACAAAATGGTCAAAAGAAGGATCAACAGACAAAAGGAAAGAACTTGCTCAGCCTAGACGGTGTGAAAAAAGTGTTTCAACTTGACAAAAACAAACCTAGTAAAAAAGCAGATCAAATGAAACCGACGATAAAAAGTAATTAACATGTTGCTCATTACATTGACCACAGATTTGCATTCTAGAAAGCACGTCTAAGTTGGCTCCGCTCCAAGTAGAACCACCGAAGGAACAACATTCGCCGTAAGTACAGTTTCTTATTGAAGCATTCTTTTTCTCGAAGACATTGTTTTTAGCCGTTCCTTCTATAATACTTTCTTGACCGAACATTTTGAGAACGCTCAAATTACAAATATTGTGATCCCCTTCAAAAAGCTGGATCTGGCTACTGCATTTGCTACCTCAGGACCGGAGCCTTCTGAACCGCGTTCGACTGAAGAGATGCGCGCGGTATGCCAAATTATTGTGTTCTTACAACATGTTGTAATTTTAAGGATACGTTGTACAAAGTGTTAGACGACTTCCCCAACTTGATTTTGCCCCCGCTGGTATGTTCCATTCCACTTTTTAACGAGAAATAAATTTCGTCTTATTCACCGCCGAATCAATCAATTGCAGAAGGATATTGACCATACATTACCGTATTTGCGTGAACTTGATTTGCAATCTACACCAGCCGGTACTCCTGCTGCGGAAGGGGTAAGCTTTTCATCAGGGAACCTCCTGCTGTACCTTTATCTGTGATAATGCACAATGTTTATTATACCATAATTCAGTTCAAGTCTCGGTTGAAAGATTTGCTCAATCCGCTCAAAAATCCTTCTTCTGGTGTTGGACGAGTGAAAGCGTCACTGCTTGATGTAAACAGGTCACGCTAAGAGACAGAGTGAAAAATGTTTTTTCTTCAGAAGCTGCTGAAAACGCAATCGGAGGAGGAGTCTTGTGTTGATGTGAAAGGAGATTTTGTATCATCAAACGCAATTATGACTTTACAACATGAAGTGACACCTCGCGGTATTAGCCCAGAAGAAGTATCCTCACGAGCTCCAGACTGGGAGGCGCCTCCTTTACCAACGTCGACTGCGCAGAATCGTCTGGCTGTAGCATCTACGCAGCAACCGCAACCACTAGTGGGATCAATTCGTAAGAAAGGAAGGACGCTACGTCAGCGTTTGAAGAAAATAAAGCATTATGTAGGCTTGACTCTTTAGCGGAAGGGAGAAATTTCAATGACTTTCAGTTTTCTGGGAGTAAAGATCGGATGGAGCAACAGAACGAAGTCCGCTGAGCATTGTGCAGTTTTCTTGATAATTGTTCAAGGTCATTCAAGTCCCGATAAAGATTTGTTATAATTACTCTGTAATCAAAACGGTCTCCCGCAGCTTATACATTGGAATGAATGGAAGATTGAGAGTGCTCGCTGCAGCCGATTACCCTGTGCGGTGTGCAGTACGCTACATTTATTGAAAAATCTTCGCGACCGCATTCATGTTGCTTCTGCTTTAGGCCTTGGGCAGAGTTCACGCGATTTGATCGTCGCGATTGATCGCGACAAGACAACTGTAACAATATCATCGCATGCCGATCGTCTTGCATTTCGACTGTGATAGTTTTCCAACAAGACTAATCGTGATTAACTATCACAACCGAAATACAAGAAGATCGGCATGCAATGAACTCGTAACACTTATAGCGATTGAATCGCGACGATCAAATCGCGTGAACTCTGCCCGAGGCCTCAGGCGACAGTGACGAGGGCGTACTTTCGCGCTCCCTAGATGGCTGCATACTTTCCGTTCTTGAGCAGGGGCTAGGCAGTTAAACTAAAGGCTGTTGCAAATATCGATCGGATGGAGAGACGGAAGCGAAGTGGGGCAGGTTTTCGAGGTCAAACAAGAAGTACATTATCAGAAGCTGAGCAGAGTTTGCAGGAAATAGGAATGACATCCCTTCATTGAATATAACATACTAAACAAATTTGTGGAAAGAGCAGTAACATAGCTATCTACCGCATCTCAATTTAGGCCGATATTGCAGTCAGGCTTTACAAACAAATCGAAAAGCTCAGCGCAGTCTCCTGTGGGTGGAGGACATTAGGTCGCCGAAAAAGGGCGGTCCCCGCGGTCATTTGCGACAAATACGCACCCTTGTACATGCGCGGACATGCGTTCCTGCAGGGAGTCCGCGCGGGACTCTTCCAAATTCGGCGACCTAATGTCCTCCACCCGTCTCCTGTAGATTACCCGAAGAAACACTTGTCGGGCTTCGAATTACGGATATAAGAAGAATGCCATGTCTTCGTGATCCAGTAGAATACATGGCGAAATCGAATACCAGTGGGAACTTCTTCACTGCAGAGAAAGTTGAGAACATCAAAGTGGATTCTTCGCGAAGTGAAACGCCCCCGAAGAAGACCACCGACGAGATAGGCAGACGTGCAGTGGAACAGACGTACCAGGGAAATCACATTCTATTACTGGAATTCACGAGAGCAGCCATCGAGGACAACTAAGAAGATCGTGAGTGTCAGAAACGAAAGGCAAGACAGAGTCAACTTCTATGTGGCCCGCACCTAACCTGAAGATGGGCCATCTTCCAAGTAATAACTAAGCAGCGTGTTCCAAAGGTGTGGAAACCTAGAGAAAAAACCTCTATCACACTATGTAAAACATTCCAGTTCGGCAGTTACTGAATCTTGGCATGGCGAATATTAATGTATCATATGTATTTATGTTTTTGTCTATCACACCTGTTATACATTGCATGCTCGTGACCCTGATACTGCAATGAACTTTACCGCTCCCGTTTAAATGGCAATGGGAAAACGCTTAGCTGAAGTATGATAAGCTTTTATTTTCTTAAAAAAACGTAAACAAATCAATAAATCGATGAACGGGCACAGCGAATCGCCGCAAAAAGTTGTCTGAGTCTGCCAGTGTTTAAAACGTATACGTGCAAAGTTTGACGTCTAACCGTTGAGGAACAGTAATTTTGACTTTTATGCATATGAAGATTTTATTGACCTTTAATAAATTTTATCGATTTTTTCAGCTTATGCCTGCGTCACTGTAGCGTAGCGCACTAAAGCAGCTGCTATTAATATAACGGGAAATATGGAAGACATTTGATAACAAGACTAACGAAATCGCTTTTATGATGGAAAATAGTCAAGAATTTACATAAGCTAGACGTTTGCTGCTACTTTTTAGATCTGAGGCGCCCGCCTCAGTTTCATTCAATCGCAGATCCAAACGAAGCTGATCTTTTTTTCTACCCTAGTTGAAACCCTGAAAGTGATCACTCCGAAGTTTCAATCCCCAAAATATTCCACAGACGCTAGCATGCTATTTCGTGCAGCACGGATGCTTCTTCGCAACGCCAACATCGTTTATAATGGGCATTTGTGATCCAGTTCTCAGCGCACAGAACGGGTTTCTGGCCCCGCTTACGCCATCCCTACCTCCTTTAGCATAGCATTAGCATAGCGCTGCGTTTTGCTACTACATCACACAGAAACCATAACAATTTTAAGTGTAAATGGTGATAGAGAGATATCATCCGAACTAGGATTCGATGTACATCATCCTCTTCGAAAATTTCAATTTTGTCGATTTTGGCCTTTGGAAGCAATCGAATTCTCAGAATTAATCTCTCTAATCAGATGAGAATTTTTGTGAGTTAGATTTGAACCTATATGGATTTGCGATATTAGCGAAATAACCTATATGGATATTCGGATATTCAAAGTTTGCGCATAAACTAAAAAATGCTCTAAAACAATAAAAAATTTAAACTGATCCGCATACATAGAAAAATTACTATTGTGTAAATGCCGCAATTCTTCAACTAAGGGGTCGAGTTAAAAACTTAATTTCTAAGAATACAATCCGGAAACAAGGAAAATGTCAACAAGAAATTTGTAAATAAAAACTTCTTGAGCAAATTTCTCACAGCAGAGCTGAATTTCCACCAATTTCTACTACAACTCTTTGCACCGTAAATTCTATTTGAAGTATCATCGCCATTAGATTCTATAAAAATGGCTATAACATCCAGTTGTATGTTTTGAAGTACTTCCTGAAATTAATTTGCGGATTTCCTTTTCGCACTCATTGCTTGGAAGAATTTGCGAAGTTGTTGAAATGCTCTTTCACTAAAATTTGACTGGAAAAATGTTACTTTAGCGTGATTTATTGTTCCACATAAACAAGCTGTGACTTTGTTTTACTTTGTGCTCTTCAAAGATAAATGCTCTTATTAGAGCGTTCTAAATTTTTAATTTTAATTAATTTTATTTTAATTACAAGTTGATGTTAAGATACAAATTTAATTTGTATCTTAACATCAACTTGTAAGCCTTTCTTTATAATTTCGTTTCAGAAAGTGTTTGAGACTACCAAAACCACATCAAAATTCTATGGGGGATTTTAAACGAAATATTTACGCTTACAAGCAAAAATGCAAATTAGTTTATCGCAAGAAATTCGAATAACGAATTGAATGTTGTGTGTTTGTGCAACGCACAAAATCCTTTTTATGTAGACTTCTAAACTCAACAATTTGATCTCCGAGAAAACTTTTAGTGCAAAAAATTGTCTGTGTTGCTATGCGCACAACATTTACGCGTCAAAAATAGCCAGAAAGTGCACGCTGCGAAGTTTTGTGTGTCATGCCCATCTTATACGCGCAAATGTTGTTGGCAATGCAAGAACACGATAGCAATGGTCAAATCTACTAGAGTATACTTTGCTATGGAAAACTGGATATCGAATCAGCAAGAGGGATCAGATCTCCACATCCCGCCATTGCTACCAGCATCGATATGCTGCATCACAGTCTCTTTTCGTAGCTATTTCAATTAGCTCCGAGTCCAAGCGGCATCGGCGCGGTCATCCTGTTTCCTAAAGAACATATCCCCTCTCATATCTCTCTCTCCTCGGGCTTCTATGAACGGGTTTCTCATTGCGTTATATGCTGTGTTCATTGTTCTTTGCTGTGCTTCTTGTCCACCTTGGCTATCAACGCTCCGCCCAAAATGGCTTATGGGCGGAGCCGCAAATCCGGTCGTCGCTGCAGGGGGTACTTAGGCGCTCGTTTAGTCCCATCACCCAGCTATACCATAGCTAAAGCACAGACTTTTGAGACGACCGGCGTCCGAAATCGTCGATTCCTGTTTTAGGGCCCCTCTAGTGCAGCCCTGATATTCACCTTCTATGACACCTTCGCACATATCGGCATTTCGCACACAAAAGTAGGTTCAAGCAGGTTCGCTTCATTTTTTTTAACGTTAAACCTACCTTTTTTACCTATTTGTTACAATACGTACACTTCAAGCCCTTATGCATGATGTGGCGCATACGCAGATTGCCACATATAGCTCAGTAGATTTATAATACAAAGTTTTCGAATTGTTGACGGTCCTAACACAGAATGTATGACTATTTTTGCGCAAGCCATAAGCACAAATTCGCAAGTGACATCCGGTCACGGAAAGTTGTTTAGGAACATTTCAATACTCTAACTGTATGTAAACCGGCAAGTTTCCAAATAAAGTAAATGTACGCTTCATATTATAGCTATGTGTTTTTTCGTGCTAAATGTTTTTTTCGTGCAAAAAAAATAGCAAAAATTTGCACGTAAGCTGCTCTAGTTGCATGTAAGGGAATGCAGATTGGAATGTCTTGTGCTTGCATTCTTCGATGCCCTCATGAAAAATCCTGTCTTTGAGAAAATTTATGGTAATTTTTGAATCAATTTGGTTAATTATAAACATGGTCTATTCAGTCACAGTCTGAGTCGCCATTTTTGGTTTTTTGTTAGCTCAGGTCAGAGCAGGTTACTGTAGCCTGAGAATCAAGTTGAAGTTTACTGTAGCTGTGGGAAGCAACGTTAGAGCCATTAGTTAAGTTTTTTTGCGAAACAGCTACCGATGTTTTAACCCGTTCAAAAGCAGGATTAGGACACTTTTGAGGTGTAATTCTAGAAAACTGGTCGCGGGGGGTTTTTTTTTTGAAAGGCTAGATTTTGCAGTTCTACATATTCCGAGGTTAGCTACATTCCAATTTCGGCCTTAAAATGATCTAGCCCTTCATTTCTACGAATCACCATCGCACCTGAACTGGCATAACATATAAGAAGTACATTGCGATTGCATCTATCTATGTATGGTGTGAGGAGGCGATGGTATGCGCTCGCATTTTCAGCAAGCGCGTTTCAAGTGGGCAAGCACGCACTAGTTGGACGAGTTTTCGTCTGTCTCTTCTCAAGGTCGCGGCAATAGTGGCGATGGCGGTGTGGCGGTGGCGGCGGTAGCGTCAAAAGGACACACGTACCGTCGTCGTCGTCGTCGCTCCACGGGGACGTGTGTGAGGGCGCCTGGTTTCCGAAAACCGGCTTCTATGCGGCATGCCAGCAGCCAGCGCTCCAGCGCCTCGCCTTGCGCGCACATCCCGTATCCGGCGCATAGGCATTATTGAATACTGTGCTTCTTCTTCTGAAAGATTTTGCTGCTATTCAAATTTTTGGGAGAAAAAAGCTATTTGGAGGTAGAATTATTTCACCACCTCAAATAACTCCCTCAAGCTCACAAATGTAGGATATCTGATGCCTAACTTCGGCCACATAAGTAAATTTACATTGCCTCCTTGCTGGGCTCCCTTTTGTGAAAATGTGTCATGCAGGTTTATCTTTTCACTACTTTTATGATATCTTCATCTCCTTCCCTACCTCCTGCTCATAAGCTTCTTGTCAGCTAGGCCAGGTCGCCTGCCATGTTTGGAAATGCGAATATTGCACTCGCCCCGGCCTGACTGCACCGAAGCCAAATTTGCATCATATCCTTAGCTATCAATCATTAAATTCATCTATTTAAAGCTCAGTCTTAGTCCTTGTGTGAAATAATAACTGCTAAATAGTTACACTCTTATGCCTATTTCTATGGCAGAGTGTTCCTTACATTTCTCTCAACCGACTTTAATAATTCTCTTGTTTTATTTGCTTATTAAATAGAACTAAATATCCAATTTAAATTGCGAACCTGATGATTAGAACCAAATATCTAAATAAAGTCTCCAGAGATCAGAGGTGATAGCTCATCTTCCTGCGCTGATATGCTCCAATCCTATTGTGATTGGTGGATTTTGTTTCTTACGGTAGTGCAGGAGATCATGATTACGGTAGCAGATAGAGATCATGCCCCGCGTGCGATGGAAATTTCGCAAACTGTTTCTATATTTAAAAGGAAAAATATTACCTGAGATTACAACTACCTTAGAAAATATTTTTATTCTAGAAAATTAATACCTGAGATAACGATTAATTTCAAGCAATATTTTTATTCTATCATTATATCAAGGTACGGTAGTGAAGAAGCACCAATTCAGTGCGAATTTCTTTTACATTAAAGTCAAGAGTTTGGAAATGTAAAGCAGTTGGAATATGCTAACCTCAACCGATTTTTTCACTTCTTTTGAGTAGTCACGTGCTTCTCCGCAGCATAGGTCTCACATCATAATGATTATTTGCAGTATACACAAATGCGTGTTCAAAACAGGGCCGAAGATAAAGTTTTGTTGAGGCTATCAAGTTGATACAAATGTAGTGGTAAGCACATAAGCATGATGCCGGTATTGAAAAACTAACAATGAAAAATCTGGTGGCTTCCTTGTTTGAAAAAAAACTGTTGAATTTTTTCATATGTTAGGTTGTCGCAAAAGTAAAATTCTTTTCTACACAAGTCAAGCTCTTTTTGTTTTCGTAGCAGACTTAGGTGCTGTTTGAGCGCCAAAGATTCGCCTAAGTCTCAATCCAGGTAAAATTTGAAGCCAAAAGTCCAATTTTTTAAAAGAAATCTTACTTTGTGTGTCTGCTGTATGCTGAGGTGGTCTGATTTTCTTGTCGCAACAATCCAAATTTCAAATGGCAAAATTCTTTCGATTTCGGCTCTAAACTACCTAGATTAGTACTTAGGCGGTCCTTTAGCGGTCATACAGTAGAGCTTGACTCGCTTTATCGAACGATACCCCAAGTCTGGGAAAGCAGAAACCGCTTGATTTATTTAAAAAAGATGTTTACTTTTGGAACAACCTAATACTGCTATAGCTCAAACAGTTTAATAGTCCAAGGGCTGATGCTGCTCAATATTGAAAAGCTATTTTGAGCCATAAAACAATGAACTTAAAGAAGGGTACATATTGACACATATATGTATCTTGGCTCTTTTTGATACGCGTTCAAGGTTTCCAAAACATTCATTCATAGATAAATAAACCTCCGAGCAATAAATTATGCGTTTTTCTTAGCTTCGTTTCTGCAGAACGTACATGGCAATAAGCAAGGAACAAAATTCAGAAAAATGCGAAATGAATGAAGCATATAGCCGCTCTGATCAAGAATGTGAATTTCGACAAGAAGCTAAGATCTATGTACTCAAAACTGGAGTGTGGCAAATACTCAACGAGCTAAAAGACTCGATCAAAAAAGCCTAACTGAGAAAGCGAGTTTTGATCTAGAACTATTCATCATTTAGCTGTTATTCTCAAAGAAGGGCTCCAAAAAAGCAAGAAATGAAGATGTGTACGTGCTAATAATGAAGGTCGAGAAAGTGGCGGTCTTGAAACCATTTCCTTAGTTTTTCTTGCAGAAGGATCAACATGAGCACATTCCAATAAAGGATACTGAATGTCTTCAGCTGATCCATGGCGGATAACCCAGTCGGATCATTACTGGTATACGGTAAAAATGTGACTCATCAACGCTGCGATGGAGCAGCTATCATTACAGGAATTTCCGGATCAGTATACAAGAAATAAAGTTGTGCAAGAGATATTAAAAAGTCCCAGAATTACAAATTAACCTTGCGGAAAAATTTCTCGTGGGCGTGAATGTTGTCATTCCAGCTTTTTGCGGGAATTCAGAGGCTATATATGCTCGCGGAAAATTCGAAAGCATCTCAAGAAGTTTTTGGAATTCTCATTCTACCAATCGAAGAGATTTCTGCCCCTTCTCCTCGAAAAAAATCCTCGTACCCACTGCGGTTTTATATATCTGCCGAATTGATATGGTCAAGCTTTTTGAGGAATATCGAAAAAACAGATACTGTCGTGTACCCAGCGTAACATTTCAATGAAAAATTATTGTAAAGTGCAAGTTCCATATTTGCTGTGACTGAGCTGTCTTCCGTGTAGTTTTCTGGAGCTTGTCTTATTTGCGGAAAAAAACGTGATTCTCAGTGGTGCAAGTTCTTTTTGGAAATTTTAAAGTTAACTTACAACTGAATCAAGCTATTTTACTTCATTTCGTACTGTAAGTGAACACTGTGCCAATTTTCTCATTTACATTTTCCAAGTCTCAAACTGACTTAAATTCTTGTACGTAAAACAACTAAATATATTCAATAAGGAATCCTTTTATTTCAGTTAGAATTCGGCACATGATACCCGCAAGCATGAGCAACCTATATCCAAATTGCTTATGCTATGTGTTTGAGAGCGTCTGCGATTGCTGAGACACATTTGTCCGCGTCCTTCTTGTTGACGCACATCGGTGGCTTTATACGGAAACAGTTACCATACAGACCTCCTTTGCCGACTAGTACACCGTTATCCTAAAATTCGAAGGGTTAGACAACCTTAAATTTTCCCTTAGTGAAAAAAGCCGCAAGTGTTAAGGTTTTTTTCCTTAGAAGATTGCCACAAACTAATGGATTTTATGGTCGTTATAGTGTTCCTGCGGTGCCGAACACCTGGCGCAAAAAATAATGGGGCAAGATGCAGAAAAGCGCGCTCTATGGACAATCACAAAATGCGCGCTCCATGGCCATTTTTACGCGCAAATGATGTTGGCATTGCAAAGACACTAAATCAGCAGCTAAATTCACTAGACTACACCTTGAAGGCGGCGTCCATCTCTATGCTACCCCTACTAGTACCAAGTCTAAAAGCAGGCCCCAGCAGAGGGGCATCTGTGTTGGCCCGGTCCTATTATGTGGTCTTTGAATGGAGAAAATGGACCTGGAATTCGCTAAAGTATCGAGCCCGCTATCGAGCCCGCTCACTCCAAGTTTCGCCCATCCAAAGACTGAAAGCCGCCTGCGCGCAGGATAGGGTTCCCAAAGGTCGGGTTCTTAGATGGAGAGGTGGGGTGCACATTTTGCACTTCATAAGTGTAATCGCGGAAAGGCCCCAAAGTGACAAAGACATGGAAGCTTTAATTTTGGATGGATGTATCCTTTGATGCGCGATTCATCTCATCTCATTCGGCCGTCAATTCTATGAAATCGACCAACCTTCACTCTTTCAAACAAATCAGCCATGCGGTCTTTTGGCAGCGGTTTTCCATCCTCATCGACAAACTCGACAGCAGTCATAAGCCCCTAAATATGATGATGAAGTCGTCTCAAGAAAGAAAAAAGGAGAGAACTTACCTTTCCACGGACGTCACCGATCAATGGACTTTTGATCGACGCAAGCTGCTTCAGCAGGTAATCACCCACAACCGCACAATTTTCTTGGAGCTTCTCTTCCTCAATCACCTAAAAGGTTGCGTTAATTATTTGGCGGACTATAAATATTTGTTTCGCTGGAACGCAGGTAAGATTTTGCTAAACTGATATGATTAATTCATTTGTAACCAGATGTGTGATTTTACACAGAGGGCGCTGCAACTCACGACTCCTTAGTGGTGAACACTCATTACATCGTTGTAATAGACTAGGAACTGTTTTCTTACATCTAATTGCATCTTCTTAGCTCAAGAAGAGAACAAAATTCTAAGAATTAGCTTGTAACAAGACAAGTCGTGAGATGCCGCGCTTGGTGTGCAATATACACAAATTGAAGGGTTCAAACTGGGCTGGTTCAGCCGCAACGCGAAAAAAAATTTCAGAACAGTTCGTGGGCATTTTGAGAAGCCGGAAGAAAGTAAACTTAGGGAGATGCTGACCTCTAAGACAGCTTTGCCAACGACTGATGCCATTGGATTTCCTCCAAATGTATTGAAGTAAAGCGCTTTTCCAAATGAAGCTGCGATCTGAAATGGAAATAGAGTCAAAAGATTGTAAGAGGAGAAAATGTCACCTCTTCGGTAGTGACGACAGCACCCATGGGGAAACCATTTCCGATACCTTTGGCCATCGTAACAATGTCTGGTTTTGCATCTTGTGCTAAAATCAATGATTCAGAAAACAGAAAGCCAAGTTTGAAAGTTGAGGCTTGCATGTTACAAGTATGCGTACAAGAAATAGTGTCCTACCCTCGAATCCCCAGAAATGTGATCCCAATCGTCCAAAACCGGTCTGCACTTCATCACTTATTGCTAATCCTCCACGTGCGTGCACAGCTTCGAATGCCCGCTTTAGAAACCTGCAAAGATCCGAGTGGTCGCTTAAGTCAGTGGCGCCAAAATCATCGATAGAGGGACTATGTCACCAACCCGTTGGTAAATTGCATCGTTCCGCCTACACCTTGAATGGATTCGATCAACGTCGCTGCGGGTCCTGTGGCAGCCGGGAAGTCATGTTGTATAGTTTCTTCGAATTGTTGGATATACCTGAAGAAAGTGCCTCACTGTCCGAGTCAGTGCTCGACGTTAAACACAAATGAGGATGCGCTATCGAACGATCTACTAATAATCTCCCTGCGGCATTTCCTCTCAGCGGGACGTCCAGTCAATATTTTCGCACATTTCTAAAGCTTTGTCTGTCCTGGACTATATCCGAATAGCGCAGGGCTTCTCATTTTGTCTTTAGCGCCCAGCAGTCAATGGTGCTAGTAACGTTTATTGAGGTGAGCTGTTACGTTCCGGCATTGTCGTACAATTTGTCCACCTTATTGCTAAACCCGGGTTCAGTTACCCTAGTTTCAGAATCCCTAGTTTGAGAAAAGGAGAAATAAGCTCAAGGTTAATTCGTTTTTTTATTCAGATCTTATTCAACCCATTATTCACTACTGATGACTTCCAGAGGAGACCGTATTCTTTGTCTGAATTCCGTCTAATGTTAGGAAAGAGACGGATATAAGAAGTTTTCCTGCTTATAGTTCTGCGGTGATGGAAGACAGATTAGGAGGACATCTGACGAAGGCGAATAAGCCGTAACATTGGCCAAATAAAGTTGTCAACAATCTTGGTTTGGCTGACGCAGTCGGAAGTATCATCTTGAAATTGCCAGCATTCATGAAGTGTCAATTATGGCATATCAGTCAACATTTTGGTCTCACTTCACAGTACAGTCAATAACGTCGTTTTCATTAGCGAAGTCAACATCTTTTTGGTCTGTCCTAACTAGAATACCTAACGATCCGGAAACATGCACGTTGGCTAAAAGAACAGAGGAGCAATTTAGTGCAACTGGAAGAAGTATAAAACGGAAAATGGTTGTCGGTTGTTTCATAGATGGAAGAAACGGCTCGTCGTTTCGTGTCTTCACGAAAATGAAGGAGGTCGTACTTGATGTTAAAAAAAAAGAAGTGAATTCACACATGGAAACTGGCTGATAGTGGTGAATGAAATGGTCGATGGATTATTAGAACTGCAACCCTTCGTAGTAGAACAGTAGGAGGTAAGTGAGGTGCTCCAAATCTGCACAGGCACTGCCTCTAGTAAGTTAAGTCCCCCTCCCCATCTCCCCGAGGCAACTAGAGTCCTAAGGCTAACCAGCTCCAACCGGCTCGGCAGCGCCAAAGTCGGTAAGTCCATACTCAACTCATCTAACCATTTTAGTTTTGTATGTCTTTTCTTTTCTTGCCATCTTCTTCCATAGTTTTCCTCTACAGTTTCTCGTATTTCTTCATCAGGATCTGCATCGGTTTAAGGCCAGCACAGAAGCATGCCTCTTGCCTGTCTATTAGATCTAACCATCACTCTCTCGCCCATACTCTTGATCAAAATTATTGTACGTGTACTATGTCTGCTTACTATAGCCTACACACTTTGTGTTTAACGTTTCTTGCATCTGATTATAGTTATCAAAAGCTTGTTGTCATGTAGATGAAGAACAATCTGGGACAGACTGATAGCGAGTATATTTTCGAAGGAACTACTTTTGTAAGTTTTTGTAATTATTGTCTGAAAATCTTATCTGAAACGACATATAAACACTCCGTCTCAGAAAGTTATAAGAATGCGTGCATCAAATTCAAAAAATACTTTGAGAATTGTTTGATCACATCAGCGCAGTGCCGCTGTATCTCTCGAATTTTCAGTAAGGACTTGCAAAATTGATATCACACTTGAAATACAGCCCACTAAAGTGCCAACCGATTCATCACAATGGTATGCACGTACGTAATCTCCGATGATGTCTAGACCACGATTGGTCTCACTCTACCGTGACTAGTAGCGACTAGGTTGGTCGAAGAGTAATGGGACACTAGAGAAACGCCGCTTTCTTAAATGCACGAGTTGATAAGTTGCAATTTTGATAGACCTTGTAACATGTCGAATTTCTCACAGTCTACATGAGGGTTTGGTGGATGCACGATATACATTTCCGTTAAAACGCAGAGTTGACACCGTCGAGCAGGTATGAATTTTGAGTATCGGAACAGTGGAACTCGTAAAAACATAAAATCGTTGGCGCAAAAGATGAGGAAACAGTGAAACTAACGATCGCTTCATGAGGCCAGACTTCAAAACGGAATATGTTACAATGAGTACTCAGTTACTAGTTATTCTCTTGCTAAAAGCCAACGGATGCTCACTCCAGGTCAGCCTTCAGAACTTTTCAGTTTCTTATTCTTCCGCGGATTACTCGATTCTCCCATCATTTTTGCAAATCATGGATAACTACTACGTAATTTTGATCTAAATTTGGACTAGATAGTACAAGTTCCTAGAGTTCTTAACTATAATCGCACAGCCAGCAGCCGTTGGAAAGGGGGCGAAAGGTCCTGTATGACATATCCATGCTCAAGAACTGAGATACGACGGGGCAAATATAGGGATTTCCAGAACAAGACTGCTTGCTTCACCTAAGCCCTCGCTTTGAAGGTTACCTACACGAAATATATGCGTTGCTTGCACCCAAGTTGTCAACAACGTCATACATATATAATAATAAAAGTCAAAATTGTCAGTTTGGAGGCTACGTGCGTTATAGAAACGCGCGCCGCTCAACCGATTCAGCTGAAACTCTTCACACATATATTTTCGACCCCTGCGCAGATAACAGGCTACTTTTTGCGGCGATTTGTTGGGTTCTTCTATCGATTTATTTTACCTTCTTCTGAGGAGAAGAAGGCTTATCATATTTAACCAAGCATTTTCCCATAGTCATGTACAGGAGGGCGGTGAAGCTGATTTCCACCCCAGGATCACGAGGATGCGGTAAATCGAAGCGGATGCCGCAAGGTAAGTCATCCATAACATGGAAGAGGAGGGGGAAAAGGTTTCGCAATGCGGTATTCTGGCAACTGTAGTATCTACTTCGTCCCCTGTGAATAATAGCTCGGGCTGGACCGGGGACCAACTGGTAATGAATAAATGGAAGTGTGCAATTATCCCGATTATTCATCATAAATCCCTCCTCAAAACCCATACCATTGTTAGCAAAAGAAGAGCACTTTCAAGATCACAACAATACATCAAAGCGCCTTTTCATCCATAGCAGTGAAAATTCAGTGAATCTGTGGGATTATGCCAAGAACTGTTTGATCACTTCTAATTAAACACTTGTAATTACCTATGTACTAATGCAAGCAAGATGCGGTGAATCGGCTCTACGATAATTGAAAAGGTAAGTCAAATATTGCCATCAAAATCATCTTTCATGAAAAATGGTAGCAGGCCAGCAAATATAATTAAGCCTGTCCCAATCGGACTCAATCAACTTAACGCAACGAGTGTTGTTGCGCATTGCGCGAGTCCTTAAAAGCCCTACTACCGAGCGGAGGCTCCCAAAACGCCAGTGCTCGCGCTGCCGCGCTCACTGCCTCTGCATATAAATACCGCGCGTGTACAAAAGTCAGTTTTGTCATACGTGTCTATTAGCAAGCGGTCGTGCCCTAACCATCGCCAGTCAAAGCCATTGCTCAAGCGGCACCTCCAGCATCGTCTCCTTGTTAAAAATCCATGCCGAGAAGGACTGAACGCGCAGAATTTAAGGCGCTGAGGTCCTTTTCTACTGACACACGTCGGTGGTGCAGCATCTGGGGGTTTCGATTCTGTTGCCCTTAATAGGACCCATGATCGGTTGTTCTTACTCCGACGTGCAAATTATTATGTGATATCATAAGATGAATGTTGGGCTTTGGATGTTGGTATTATTGTTCGATGCGGCAAGCCGCATCGAAAAATAACACCAATAGCCGCAATCACGGCTGTAGCTTAGTTACTATCGAGTACATTTTGGTTCGTTATAATCAATGTCTTCTTGTAGTTCGATCATATAAAGACGTGCGCAATGTATGCTAGTGCCCAGACTGTAACAAGGCAGAGGTGCCAATGATGCAAGTGCGCACATGCCGTAAGTTACATAGTGAATGCTAGGTAGGCTGATAGCAAAGGACTCCAACTGTACACGGCATTTATATCGTGACAGTCAATCATTCGGGGTAGGGAAGAACTTTGCCTTCATCGCGGACTACTGGTCCTTGGAGGCATTGTCTCACCAAATCTGGGGTAGTGCGGATCTTCACACATTTCACTAAGGCCCCCTAGGCCACTGCAACAAGTCCGACTTTATTTGGCTCTTTCTCTACTAAGTAAAATTCGCTCAAATTGGTAGGTGAAGAGCGATTTGGTACGCGCAAGCGACTTCTCCGTTCTCCTTTTACACGTTTCAACATGTCCCTCTACTTGGCGTCCACCTCCATTGTGTTGCTGTTACTGTGACAAGACTAATGTTAGATGGCACAAGTCCGTCACGTTTCTTTCGCGGGGCCTCCAGAAACTTTTTTTAAGATATTTCGTGCTTTGAGTCCCTACACTGTTAGACGAGGTCCGATAGGCTTGAAATGCAAAAATCTCGGCAACCAAATTTTGGTGAGACGCTGCCTTCAAACGACATCAACAAGACGGCAAGAAAATCAGCTGTCTGCGGAGGCGGCCTAAAATGGCGGGATTCGTCCACGCCTTCAGTCTTACTATCTTCGCAAGCGTGGTACCACCCATAACGCTCTTTCCTCTCACAAGTGGACCTCCAGGCCCTCCACGCCCATGCGAGCGCACTCCGTCTACTGACATTTGGAACTAGGAGCCAACCATACCCTCGATACATAGAGCCACGTACTCTGGTAACCTTCACTTTAAGGGCTATGAGGGGACACAACCTTCACAACGTATGTTAATGAAGCAAATTTAGGGAATAATATCTCTAGCTTATTTCAGCGAAACCGAGAATTTGCGTTTTCATAGCCTTTTTTACGTTAAAAAGGGTTTCTGTGGAATTTTCGCCAGAATTCAGGACAAAATTCCTCAGTTAACCTCTCATTTGACCAAAATAGAGTTTCAGACGTTTAGGAAAGCTATTGGATAAATAAAAACGAGAAACTGAGCTTAGTTCTTGCGCAGAAAATCGCGCACGAATACGCTGGTCATCTCGTTAATGAATGATTTTCAAAGCTTGGGACATTGTCAGTTGTCCTTCGTGTCATGACGATCAGAATGATATATGATGTTGCAGGGTTTCGTTGAGACCCCGCGGGATCGATGACCAAAGCCAAATGCCCCGTCGGCTCTGGTCTGTCTCCGCTGCTCGTCCGCGTCTCCGCGCGCTGCGCGCTACCTCGCTACCCCAAACGCGGGCCGCGGGGCATTTGGCTCTGGTACCCTTTTCTTCGCTGTTTCTAACCCAATTTTGGCAAGCTACATATCATTTTGAAGCTCTTGATCTCTATTTTCATGCTGACAACGTCCCAGAACCACATTTTTTGATTTGATCGAGAAATCCGGCAAGAACCTTGTTATCGAAAATCTCTTGTTTTTCTCCTACTTTAACTCTTTTCACGCAGTTCTTTTGTGCATTCTATAGATCTTGCTTCTGTTCATAATGCAGACAATCACCCAGCCCTTATTTCTTCGATTATGGTGGAATTTTTTGTGAAAAAACGTGAAAAGTGCGTTTTTCTTTACCTTGTTCTCTTTCAATGATTTCGCAGCGATTTTTTTCCAGCTTGGGCGATTGTTGCTCAGAACAATAAGCGCAACAATCCAGACAACGTCCCAGGAAACCGGAACGTCAATGCGGGGGTAAAAATTCAAAGGACGCGCCAAAAATCAAAACCCCGTGTTGCGAATTGCTGGTCCTGGAGCGAAAACTCGCACTCTGAAAAGCCGCCAAATGAAAGATTTCAAACCTCATTGCAGCGTTTGTATCCGGTTTAAAGCGGTTTCTTTTGCTTTTGTTTTACGTCATTTTCTCTTCTCTGATCTTCTTCAAACAACCTTCACTATTTATGACGACAGATATTCAAACAACGTTCACTTTTGGCGCCCTGTCTCTAGACTATCGAAGGTATGGAGCCAACCCAAAGCACTTGTCCGCATCGCAGGGATCCTGCGTCACGTCTGTGTGCCACTATGGAATGAGGTACAAGGACCACCTTTTTCCTTCAGAAGGAAAAACTGAGGACTAAATTTCACCTAGGTCTAGTCGAAACCTCTTCCCATCCAAAACTGCATTTCGAAGTTGTGATGTTTTCTTCAGTACCAATATAGCGTGGATGAATATTGACAATAAAAAGCTTTCATTTTTGGGCACTACTTGCAGGAGGCCTCATGGGATGGATTTTTAAATATTGACCCTTCGCCATTTGTTCTTTCAAACCATCCGTTTGCAGATTGACACTTTATGTACACCATAAACTTCAATATATACATATTGCTCCATTTTAATTTATTGATCGCTCTCCAACGTGCGAGTTTCAACACAAATTTCAACTTCTTAGCCCATACAGCTACAGTAAAGTGGATACGCAATATAGTGTGCTTGTACTGCAGATAAAATGCTGTGAAATCTGTGCGTGAACAAATAGCCATGCCAGTAATGCGGGTGTTTTGCGCGCAATTAGCCGGCGCCACGAGCGCAGTTATTTATTCACGCGATTTGGATCCAAATGAAACAGTACTTCACCATTACTGATCGTCACGCGAAATTTCTAAATTTGCCTTGACTACTCAGTTTGGCGACTCATTTTCCCGTCCTACATATCTACCTTATATGTATTTGATGTTATTATATACTAAAAACGTTTCTAGTCAGCCAGTCACATGCACCTTCCTTTTTATATACTATTTATTTCCTCACCCTCAAAAACCTATGCATCCACTTCTGCATAGATGAATCAGCTTACACTCAAAACATTCATCTATACCTATACAATATTTCAATATGGTATAAGAAAGTATCTATTTCAAATAATGCTCATCTAGACCTACAAAAGGACTGTACTATGTTACTTCGTCTTCTTTTGACGTTGTCGATCTCTCTGATCTTGCATTCTTGCTAAACTTATTGCATGCGGCTCAAACCCAGAGGAGGTGGGGGCGGCTGATAGTTGAAAAAGTCCTAGGTACGCATGGGTTTTGCCATATCGCATGGGTACTATCCGCCAAAGCTACCACTCGAGAGTGATGGGACATATCCCATCATATCCCGTTATTTTGGGCTTACATGCATTTTCTCGAAGAATGCTTTTGATCAGAGCTTTGTTAAAGTTTGAGATACATATGTTGTCCTTATGCAATATAGATTAGTTCCGTCTTATACCGTCGAATGGATCTGAGGTTTTTGAGTGTAATAATATTCTTATTCATTACTTCCTCTTTTAGTGTGGCTTGGTTGGTCTGTGTTTTCGCTCACTATTTCTTTTGGTGCACCTCGAGTGTGATAGATAAAGATAAAGATAAAGATTCCACCTGCGGTGCAAGCACACTATATTAAGCATAATCTACTCGTATGTTTGGCCATAAAATAATAGTTGCAACATGAACAGCAGAACTTTGATTAATTTTCTATATTTGACTGTCCGAAAAGAATAGCGAAAATGCAATAGTTTCTGTTCTTATCACTATATTATTGCTAGGTCAAAAAAGTCGGTTGTTGATAGCATGTGCAAATGAATATGGCAATACCACTCTTTTCACTCAAAAGGTTTCTGAGTGTGAAACTTTTCAGAATCAAAGAAAAATTGAATTTTTTGTTCTTAAAAAATCGTGCTTTTTTTTTAAAAATGCATATTATGCGCAAGTATTGTCATTATCACAGAAATGCCACGCTGACTGTAAATAATTCCGGACGAATGCAAAAACCTTGGCAAGAGGGCGAGAACTGGCGTTCGAGCATTTATCACCACTGGTGATACCCAAAAATGATATCCGCTCGCGCCGCGCCGCGCTCGCATGCGCTTTGCTTAAATGGGCATCAGCTTTTGTTTTTGATTAAGCTATAGAATATAAGTGTTTAGCGCAGCTATCCACACTCGGCAAGGCTACTTCTTTCTTGTATACGTGATGTACTATAAATCGTCGATTCGGTGGCCGCACGGACTACTTAAACGCCGCGGGCCACGCGCGGCGCGGTTGAAATGTTGCGAGAGCACGACTTGTACAATAGCGAATTTGCATTGGAGCAAGCGTTATACCTCGCGGCGCGTGTCCGCAGTGCTGTCCAGTCGTGCGGTCAACGAATCGACTATACAGTCTGCCCCAATCCCAACCAGGCCAAAATTGGCATGGCGGGAGTCCGCGTAGCTAGGGTTTCGCGGTCACGCCCACGGCCTGCTTCTCTGCTCTCTCTTCAATCCTTTTGCTCTCTCCGAAAGCGCGCATATGCAGCGCAGACCGAGAGCGTTGAGAGCGCGCAAATTTACGCCGACGGTTTGGCCCGATCCCGATTGGAGCAGCACTGTACATATTTCTACTAGCACTCACTTATCTGTAGCCTTGCATTCGCCAGCTTTACAATCACAGTCTCGCTTCGGCTGGATAGGTGAATCGCGACAGTGTTTGCCACCCCATGGTCCCTTGTACGGATCGGCTGTCATAGCTTTCAGTATCCCAAAACCGGCTGGCATTGGCTGTTTCCATGTTCCTGTATAATTTCAAAAAAATTTATGTAAGATGAGATAGCAGATTTTTCCCGTTTAGTAGATAAGATGCCACCTGTGGCCGTATTCATCAACGAATCCAGTGGGTTAAGCCTAACCAGTGATTCCTGGACCCACGGTAGGCGAACCCAATGGGTTCCGAAACCCACTGGGTTCGTTGACGAATACGGCCACCAGGGTACCTTCTCAGTGGGCGAGGGGGCTAGCAAAACTACCTATATTTGTCGATCCTATAACGGTTTGTGTCATGCCATGATATCCATTACGCATTGATAATATGTCAAAACGTCCTGTATGTACTCTAGCCAATGTCATTGCTAGGTCGTTAGCTTCCGAGCCCGAATTTACGAAGAAGCATACCTGTAGTAAACGATTAGGAAAAGCAGCTACAATAAAATGCACCACTAGAATACCTTCATATGTTTTGGAAACTTCGCCGTAAGCTTTTCTGCATACTCAAGAACGGGTTCCGTATAGTAAATGCATGTGGTGTGCCAGAGCTTGTCAAGCTGTGCTTTTAAGGCGGCATTGACCTTTCTGAAATATTGAATTTCAAAAAAAAACTTGCGAATTTTCTACGAACTGCCCTTAATTTTTGAACCATGATAAAAAAATTATGAAAGCAAACAGAAGCAGCTATTTTTCTTCTAGATCAATGCCCACTAACGGGAATCTATTATGAAGTCGTTGAAAATACTGGGAACTCGAGCATATTTTCAACTTTGAATATTTTCATTTCTAAGCTTTGTAGACTGTAATGCCGAAAATATACTGTACGCTGCAAAGGTCCAAATTATTCGTACAGTCTGCCCCAATCGGGATCAGGCCGAACCACAGACTGAATTTGCGCCCTCGCAACGCTAGGGGTCTGCGTTGCATACGCGCGCTGTCGCAGAGAGCGAAGAGATTGAGGAGAGAGCAGACTGGCTAGCCGTAGATCTGACGCAATACTCTCGCGACACGGGTTCCCGCCATGCCAATTTCGGCCTGGTTGGGACTGGGGCAGACTATATCCGAAAAATTTCGAAGTGGGCGTGTCCGTTGTGAGGCAGACCAGGCTGCTATTGGCTGGTGTATCAAAGCGTTGGATTGTCTCCAGCCTACCTTGGTGATGGTTGGCTAATTGGCCACACCAGCCAATCGTATTCTTCGAAGGGGTGATTGGCAAACACGCCCAAACACTTTTTCATAAAAGTGACTTTTTAATATAATTACAAGTTTTGAAGCAGAGTTTCATTCACTTCACATCCATTCAGTTAGACTCAAGAATGATAAAGGCCAAGTAGTGTTCTACCCGTCAGATGCCTTCAAGATATGATAAGAGATATCTACACTACGAAAAAAAATCAAAAAATGTTATGAATTACTACGCCGACTTTGCAGAATTAATATAAAATAATATGAAATGTACTTACGGATGGCAATGTCCCACCGATACAGTAACAATCCCGGCAAACATATCCAAGTACTCATTACCGTTACAGTCGTACAGGTACTGCATTTTACCCTAGATTTTTGCCTATGCAGTATCTCATCAAATTTAATTCAGATCCAAAACTACCTTTGTGATTAACAGCGGTTTCTTGTAGTATACAACCGATGACTTGGGTAACAACGACTTCAGTTGTTGTACACGCTGCATTTTCCTGCAAAAAAAAGATATCCTCACGTAAACGGGGATCGGGGTACCATATATCGGTTTCGTTGGGATTATAGCATAGAAAGTCACTGTAGGACTACGGTGAGAATTTCCAGCACCTTAACGCCATGATGACTGCATTTCGCATACATTCAAGAAGTCTGGAACGCCCTTTCAGACAAACTGATTCAATGAATTGATAGAGTTCCATAAGGTGTAACTCAGACAATTTACAGGAACTTTCGCGGGGAAGCAAAATTTACAGCGGTTCCGCAGGGTTGTGCTTACTTGCAAAAGTGGAAACGTTGAAAATGGGAACTTTCGCAGGATTCTTACGTCAAACTGGTTGAAAACGGGAACTCCTGCGAAACTATCAAAAAAGCCAGTGGTTACGCAGCACTTTGACACGCCAGTATTCCGCAGGCTTTTGAATGTGTGTCTCTTACGATGTTGCCTCGTCAACAACTAGAGGCAGAGCATAGTAAGGGAATCTCACAGTCAGTAGAGCAAGGTTTGAATCTCGCTTCGTTCTCTTCTGCTTTTGTGGTTCGCATTCGCAACGTCCGCAGAACCTCATTTGGGAACTTCTACAACTTTTTTACGGAACTTACGCAGTTGACCCAGCGGAACTTCCCCAAACGTTCTGCGGAATTGTCTGACAGTTGTCTGAGAATATCACGCTCGAATTTTGAGGATTATCGAAAACACTATTACTGGAAAACCTATGAAAAAATTTGATATTTAGAATCGAAGACTCTGATTGATGACTGAGCTTCCAGTTGTTTCCCCTTTTTTTCCGAAACAAGATTCAGTTCTCAATGGCTCAAATACCATCAAAAACTTCCATATTCCTACTGTAATGAAAAGCATTCGGTATTCCTACTTGAAAATATAATCTGATCCACAACAAAGAGACAAAATATCAACGAGTACATTTTTTGAGATGTCAGTTCCGCGTAAGGAATTTGGAGTCAGTGGGAGGCAAAGAAGAAAAACAATAATGAATTTACGGTTTGGCATGTAGTAATGCAGGATTATCTAGGGATTATCGAATTGCTAGAGAATTGACATGCAATAATGTGATAAGGAAATAATACTTTGGAGCGGCATTAGTAAAAAAAATTTCAAAGAACAATAGCTGATTCAAAGACAGCAGTTGTTCCACTAATTCTTTCAAATTTTTGGCTCCCCTTCTGAGTATGCATTGAGATTTTAAAGAGGGGAGGGCAGAATCGCTGCATGTTTCCATGGTTTTACTACGAAAAAATGCCTAAGACAAATAATCAAGGAAAGGTGAGTATCTGAAAGATTATTTAGTGGCAGGAGAATAAAATAGCGAAGTTTCTGCAAAAGAGATTTCAAGACAATGCATTGTTTTGGTTTTCGAGTTTTCGACTCAGACGGATATACTATCGCATTCCTCGTACAACTTACTAGATTTTAGAAAGGTACCATTGTAAATCTGAAAGGTGCATATGCTTTTTTCGAAATTGTCATGAAATTAACTTCAAAAAATGGCTGGTATATGGAATATAATAGCTTTACTTCGTTGCAAAATACAAGAATTATATAAATAGTTGGAATAATTGTTATCTTTCCACAGAACTGTTTATTGCAGTAAAAGTGACAACTAGAACGATTAGCTTTTTTGTGATTTTTTTTATTCATTGCAGTAGCTAAAATAGCAAGAACACACTGTTTGAAAATGATTGATAGCACTTACTCAACGACAGTAAATTTATATAACCTGCACCTAGCTGCGAAATGTTAGGCAGTTCTTCAGCTACTAAAACGAAGGTAGATGCTAGAAAATTCTGTGAAGATATTTGCAAAATTGCGCAATCTTTTTCTAGGCCACAACTCCATAAATATCTGATTATCATCAGTTTATAGAATAAAACATCGAAACATTTATTAATAAAACCAGATACTTTCCACAACCTCCTTGGTGCAGCTGAGACGAGCATAAGTGATGGAAATCGGGATTTTTCCGTATCTATTACCTCCATGTTCAACACATTTATACAAATAGAGATTGCGGATGATTTTGAATTTTAGTTTTTTATATGCTCACTGGGATATAAGCCTATGAGCAGGTGTCAAACACAAGGAATTATAGATGAATCAAAAGCGAAGAAGACCGCTGTTAGGAAGTTACAAGGTTTTGAAATAATATGACGTACCATAGTATTGCTACAAATTTCGCTCGTTCAGTAAATTACCCCATTTACCAGGAAGTCTAACAGTCGAGCAATGTGTAGAAAATGAGGAAAATTATTGAGGCAGTGAGAATGCTCGAGGCTTATTAGGTGCCAGAAGCCATTTGCATAAGAAATGTGGTACAAGAATGTAATTGAAAAGAGAAGAAAAAACGGAAAATCAATGTTGAAAAAAAAAACAATTATATTTCTTGGAATATTTCATGTTACACTCAAGTTTCCCATATTTCCTCTTCTTTACTAAGGTACAGTGTTCAGGCCTAACTGTGAGAGCTTTGCTTCTCCTTTTTATTAATCTGTAGCAGTTAACCGAGTGATAGCTCATTTATCAACAGTGTGGAGATAAATCATGTCTCTTAGCAAGGCATTACACTGACAATGAATGGGTTAATCCAGCTGCTCCAGCAAGTTTCTAGACGAATTGCAGTCAGAATTGAGAGCTACTACAATTTGAGCTGTATTATGAAACATTTTCTTGTGCTTTCGCTTTCCATGTAAGGCAGCCAAACAAATTGACCGTATACCCGAAGTGGATATACGGCGACATAACCTGTCAGATATATCTTTCGCCAGTGTCATCGTCTTCTTTCAAGTATTTTGTGGGGTAAAAACGGTCAGCAGATGGAAATTCTGTTAGATTTGATAGAATTGTTTCAAAGTCATAGTTAGTCACGTTCTGAAGCAATAGTAGGAAATATGACATAGTCATGATGACTGAAATAGGAAAAATGATCGCCAAATGAGGTGAGGAATTGAACAAGAGTAACCACACTGTGGTCTGAGTTGCCCAAAAAATGAGTTTCCATACATAGGAACTGTACGGGGTGTCAGCAAAGAAATCGCCATTGACTCTTCAAAAATTGCTTTCTTCACTGATAAAGTATTTACAACTCTGCCTCAAAAGCAAAAATATGAACCTTTCCAATGCAGTTTTTCTTGAAAAGTTTACTTTTCTGGTTCTGAATGCCATTCTAATCGGAATTCTGTATTACATGGTGTTACATGGCCTATTATTTCGTGACCAGCTATCATCCATCCGTATTAGATTTATTTTCTGCAAATTACATTCAGCGCTGTTTACGGTGATGCACTCAGCGTGCACAAGATAAAGCAATAAATAGATAACGAAAAACATCAATAAATTTCCTAGGTTTTTGTTGGCATGCTTTTGTGAAGAGAAACAAGCAAGCCTGCATAGTGAAAATATAAATGAGTTGCACGAATGTTTTCGACGGTAAGCCAAAGAGGCAGAATGACCTGACTAATGGCTGGGCAACTGTTGCGCATGACCTCGCACTGCACGTACATTAAACATTCGAGGAGCGATATCTTGATACACTCTTCCAGCTACAAAGCCGCTATTTGCCAGAATTTGAAAAAGCTAGGCTTGCCTCACCTCAACAAGTTGCAAAGAAGGCTTTCTCGTCACTCTTGAGAGGTGCCAAAAGTCCTTGTCTTCTTATATTTTCCGATCCATCAGAAATGTTCGAAGCAAGAGTTGTGTACCATGCCCTTTTCTGCATGGAATATTAATCAATAATTTTCCAAGCGATACTTAATTTTCTACAAAAGCGCGCAAGTGTAGAACAAATTGGGTTGGCAGGGTGATGTCGTTTTTTCGCGTTTTATAACAAAAATTGATATTCTCGAAACGAATCTACGTATGACATAATTGTGAAAGTATTTATACACCAATAGAGTTTGTAGATGTGCCTTAGTTCAAGATGTGTACTCATGGAATTCCTTGACCGTTCCTGTTTTATAGAGAACAAATGGACAGTGGTTAATGGTGCAGCTGAGGTTACCAATATGACTGTTAGGATCACATCGAAACCCAAGACTGAGCCAACACATCATCCAACTCCGTAGGGAGGTGATTTGATAGAGAACTTGAATGGTAATCGATAATCAGCTTTTTGAGTCCTTCCTATCAGGCCAAAAACAAGCTCAATCTCCCATCTTGTCTAACTTTAAAGGATAGATCTTTAAGGGAGTCTCGTAGGTGCAGTCGAAACTTCCCTAAACTTCCTGCAAACTTTCTCACATGCTGTCCGACATCACATAACGGATCATTTGCTATTGTATTTTCCATTTTCTTTTAGAAATTCGACGACCAACAAAAAAATATGCGAAAACTTTCATGGCCATTATTGTTACCATCATACATCATCCTTGTTCACCAATTTTTTGGCTGCACCAATTTTTGGCACTCCGCCAAAACTGCTAATCAACTTTCGGAAAGTGATCGTTCAAACACACGTTATCACATTCGCAATCTTCGAGTCAGCTATCGCAGTACCAATTATGCCTTCACGCAGTTCTTCACGACGATAATTTCGACGGTTTTTCAACACCTAATAGTTATCTCAATGGTTTGGGCCTGTCAATTTTCAGTACAAAATGAAATGCTCAGTAGCTGACTATCTCAATGTTTCCGCCAGTACTGCTGCTCACTGAGGGATAAAAATGCTTTCCAAGTTAATGAAGCTTTCAGATAGAAATCTATAGAAACTGTTATGCGCTTTGACGCGAACGAACATTAGTAAATATCTCAATTACATACTTGAAGAGCTTATCTACCCTATTCTGTTACAATCAAACCAGCTTTTTTGTGTCCATTTAACTTTGCAACATGACATTGGCTGGTGACTGATTTTAGATATGTTCAGATAATCATGTCGCGAAGGCAAATCCGTTCGATACATCAGTGAAGCATGGAATTCTACTGGGAAGTTTTTTTGCAGTGTAGTTTTGAACGTTAGCATATCCAACCATGAATCCGTCATTCTCCGATGGAATAGAAAATTGACGTTTTTGTACGCTATGAGAATTGTTAAAGGCAGCGTTCAAGAAAATTCAAACCCTTCCGATTAGTACCTAGCCTAGATGTAGGTGCCGGGAAAGGATCACCTACGTTGGTCCGGTCCTCCAATGTTGTCTCTGAATGGAGATAATAAACCTGGAACCCACAAAAGTGCTATCAAGCCACGCTCACCCTACCAAATTCCGCCCCCAGGCACCGAAAGTCGCCTGCGTTCAGGATAGGGGTCCCGGTTCCTAGAAATCAGGGTTTTCAAGTAATTGCACATTTTGAGCTTCATAACTGTAATCAGAATCATGTAAAGCGCCAACATGACAAAAACGTAGACGGCGAAATTTTGGGTGGAAAGCGGCCTTCAATAGCGAAGACTGACTATCTTACGGCTGCAGCTCTATAAAAATTATTACTGCTTTAATTATTTGATTCAACCTTAACTACTTCTAATTGTAGGTATTTTGACGAGGATACTATTGAACTCCTACCCACCTCACCTCCCTTATGAGTGTTCGAATATTAATGACAGAAAGAATGGAGATGTTTTTTTTACACTGTAATCTCAGCATTTTTTATTTTAGTGCTGCTCCAATTTCCAAAGACTTCTTTTGTGTAAAACAACATGAACGATTGGCTAACCACTTTTCATTGAATACACGAAAGTGAACAGTCGCTCAACATTGATTGAAAGGAGACTGATAATCATAGGCTAATCGGCGTGGGGTGGGGGAACGAAAGCCGCCAGGTCCAGCCGCCTTTCGCGGCCAGCTGGTCCTTTCGCAGCGTTGTTGCATGTCGTTCCAGGACCAGCAGTCCGCGGAGGCGGCTGGACCTGGCGGCTTTCGTTCCCCCACCCATCGGCGTGTACTGCATTTCGAACACAAAAACATAAAAACCGAAAGAGGTCAAGATCAGAAATTGTGCTAGGCATCTGACAATACACGAAGAGGTAAATGTGCTCATATTGTAAGAATACAAAAAACACAGGAGGGTACTCTATTGCAGAAGGTAGATAGTTGAGGTCAAGATCGATCAATAAAACATTCAGAAACAGGTAGATTGTATAAAAAATGTAAAATGCTACATATAAAGTAGAAACTTGGCTGGTGAGACAGAGTTGGAGTTGCCCACACGAGAAAGAAATGCTAGAATAATGATGGAGAAAGATAAGCGCAATGTGAGACAAAAGCGCTTTCACGGGGTCGTACAGCTAACTCAAACTACGATCTCAAACAGAAAATTACAGTAATCTTACGTGTGAGGTTATTGAGATGGAGATGGGATTGGAGCAACATATACAAACAAAACAAAAAATTATGAAAGATAGGGGACAATAAGCACATCTATGTACATGCAAATAAGTAGTGTTCGTTGTAGAGATGAAGTAGATTTCGAATCCCTGCTCACACTATACAAATTGGGATTTTTCCCACAAAAACTCATCAGTTTGGAAGGGTATAAAAACAATACAACAAGAATAAACTACTTAGAAGAAAAAATTGTTTGAAGAAATGTCATTACATTTGCAGGTAAGATCCATGAAAGTGGAGTATGGAACCATGAAAAGAATGTATGCAAAGATGTTTGCGTATGGGTAGGTAGGAAATATCCTAGTGCATTGGCAGGTATTCTAAAAATCCATCCCAGAGAACTAATAAGTGCATCAATAGGTGTTCTTAGAAAATATGCTAGTACATTTTTTATAGCATAGAGAGGTGTACTTATAAACCATGATAGAGCACTGGATGCAAGTTTTATAGGTATTCTTAAGAACCATTCTAGGGCTTTGAAAGGTATGGACTGCGAGAAATACGGCTTAGTGGGGTCTGAATACAATATGAAGAATGTGAGGCCACCAATCATTGATAGTAGGAGTCCTGTGAGGAGAGCTTCTTGACCATTGAACTTGTCCATGAAATTGTGTACAGCTCGAGATACTTTGTTGACGGTTCGGCCAGCAGTACGGGGCAAATTTTGCACGGTTCGGCTAGCAGTGCGGGGCAAATTCCGCACGGTACGGGGCAAACTTTGCACGGTATGAGGCAGACTGTGCATGACTTTACTGACGGATCGAGTAGCCGTACGTGGAAAATCGTGAATACGTTCTCCCACTGTGTCCATTGTTTCTTTGGCATAATCGTATGCTTCAGATAATGCTGAAGGTTCGCCTCTCTTTGACATCTGACTTCTGGTTGGAGTTCTCTGGAAAAATATAAATCGAACAAGACCGAAAATTCTTCTGTAAATTCATTGGTTCAGCTTATGGAACGTAGATCTGGAAGTCGAGTTTCATGGAATTGTTAGAAATTAAAATAAATCATAAATTTTTACACCCCCTCTGGTACAGGGCTCGGCACAGGCGGCTTATAATCAAACTGGACATCGTTCTTGGAACGAAAACCAAAAGGGATATCGTTTCTGTGGCCGAAAAATTACTTTTTTTAGTCGACGTTTCGTTTTTTGAGGGTTTACGTTTATTTGGGGCTAAAAAGTACTTCATAAAATTTTGGGAAAAAATTTTGGGACTTCGTTTTTGCATTTTCGAAAAGCCACCTCTTGCGAACCCTGAACTGGTAGTCCTGGACAAAAAATATCAAGCTAAAGTAGAAAACCTAATATTTACAGAGGTTATTTTGAATACTTGATTGTGCGGCTTACACCTTCATCTCAAAGTTCAAAAGGTTCGTGAAACATTTCTCCAAAACATTTCAACATCAGTTGGCTAGTAGAATTGTTCGATGGAACCTTATAATCTGTAAGGGTCCCGATTAATTTTTGAATGCCCAAAAAGCTATGAAGTGTAGTGGACCACCGGGGAAGCTGTTGTCGTCAACCGATCAAACATCATATGCGTTTTCGCAGCTTCAGCTTGATTAACGAGCCAAAAACCAGTTCAAGATTGATTTGAATCTCAAAATCACGCTGCCGAATGAACCTTCAATTTGTTTATATTAGTTATATTATATAATGTTGCTGTTATTTTGACCTTTACTTGTTTATAATTTCTTTAACTTGTTTATGCCTAGAAATGAAATTACCTTCACTGGTGATGGACTTGAGCTCTCATGTCTTAGGTATCGCCTAGAAGACTCCAACGGGGTAGATGTGTAGTCTCCAGTATCTTGTCTCTCGAAGCTTCGAGAATAGGTATGAACTTCCTCTTCGTCTTCATCTTCATCTTCATCTTCATCTACATAGGGGCTTGAACTTGGAGATTTTTGTGGTCTTAGTGTACCACGTGCGGAGTATTCTAGTTTAGTAGGATGAATCTTGGTTGATGTCAATCTAGGTGCTGGGCTTCTCGTCGATCCTGTTCTCTTTACGCTCGGGGTTCTTTTTACGCTCGGCGTCCTTTTTACGCTTGGGGTTCTTTTTACGCTTCTTTTTGTGACTGGTGATGCTTTTCTAGCCGACCTAGCTGGTGACGACACTTTTTTCTTTGCTGGCGATTTCGACAATCGTTTTAGTACCTGAATAATCACATATTAATTACAGTAAATGTGGTAACCGCCACCAGATACTCCTACCTTGCTTGGACGTCCCCTAGACTGTGATCTGCTGATACTTTTCGTCTTCTTGGTATCTCCTTTCTCCTTCTTACTCGGCCTTCCTCTGCTTGCCGATCTGGAGCGTGAAGACGTTGCTTTTTCGGCCTTTTTGTGCTTCGGCTCAGATTTTGGTGAAGTCATCTTGCGACGCGCTGGCGATTTTGATACTTTACGCTGCCGGGAGAATGATCTGGTTCGAGTGATTGTGACGACCTGAAAATGATTAATAAGAAAGTTTCATGAGCATGGTTCATATGCTGTAAAAAGGATACACAAATGAAGATTCGTTGCATGCAACACACAACTACCGTAATCTTTGGTGTTGCATGCAAATTGTAACAACAGAATTGCTACCGTCGAAGTTGCATACAAAGGTGTTGCCGTAATTGAAATTGCATACAAGTTGCAACAACAATGTTGCAATCTTTACAAGTTGCAACAACATTGCTACCGTGAAGTTGCATGCAAGTTGCAACAGCAAAATTGCTACCGTATCTTTGAAAGTGCAAAAGTTGCAACGACGGAGTTGCAATCTATGAAGTTGCAAAGTGTGTTACCGTAATTAAAGTTGCATACAATTGCAACAACAGAGTTGCAATCTTCGAACTTGCATACAAATTGCAACCACAAAATTGCTACCGTAATCTTCAAAGTTGCACAAAGTGTAACAACAGAATTGTTACCGTAATCTCTAATGTTGCATGCATGCAGCAAAAGCTACCGTATCTCGAAGTTGTACAAGTTGCCACAAAATTTCTACACTATTCTATGAAGTAAACTTTGCACACAACAATTTCTACAGCATTCCTAAGCTTCCCATCCTCTGTGTTTTCCCATTCTAATTTACAGAATATTTTTCTAATTTACAATTTAAAAGGTATTGAGCCAAAAGTGTATGCTATAATTCTTGTCGTTAATGTAGTGAATTGACTCTTTAGATTACGTCACATTTGTCTCCATTTTATTGATTTTATCTGCACCAATATATTCTGCTGCGTATGCAGTTTTTGGCAAGCTTCCAAGGCATTGGCACGAGAGTGGCGTCTGTAGCGGAGGCTGCAGAGAAAAATATGCGCGGAGAAGAAAGCGAGAAGAGAGATGGTACGCAAACGATAGGGCGCAGACATGCCGTACGTACAAATAGATAGAGGGAACAGACTGCGAGAAGCATTAACAGGCTGACCGGATGACCCCTGGACTCGTGCCGAGGTCAACCTAGGCGCGTCAACGGATGGAGCTAAAAGCTTTGCGATGACTTAGTATTGTATAACGCAATGAAAGGCTGATATGTTAACGATGATAAGTTGCCAGGTATTGACGCAAATTTACAGAAGCATCTTCACTCACCATTGTCGTGTAATGAAGTGTTTGTGTGCTTCGTCTTCAAGTGGGGTCAGACTGAGAAGTGCCACGAAGGTTTGCGAAGCACTGAAATTCATAATCATATAGAAACAGGGAATAATTAGGCAGAGGAAGTCAAACGAGCAAAAAAGTGGAGGACACGGTAAAAAAAACCGGAGTGGTTAAAAAATAATCGGAGGACGCAGAAATTTGAAGAAAATGAAGAAATTATGCTAAGGAACTGAATTAGAAGTACGGTAATGATTTTTAGAGCGAGAAAAAGCGAAAAGGCACGAACACAACGCGTTCTATGTGTGTAAGAGTGAGAACGCCATAGAGTGACCCCTACGCACTGACGTTAATTGTGTGCACGACTAGAGGAGAGCGATGACAGAGGGGGCACGCTCTTCTATGCACAGCATGCCAAACCACTGATCGCCGATGCAAAGGGGCGTGGACGAGGTACCGAAGAGCCTGTTCGGGAGGGAAACAAAGTTCCAATGATTCCATAGAAGAAAACTAAACCTGAAGACGATCCGCTATGACGAAAGCGCCAAACGCTTTGATTTTCATCGAAAAGTTGGAAAAATTTACTTGATTTTACAAATTTATAAGAATCTGGGCTAGGAACCATGCGAAAGCTCTCAGATAGTTCTTTCGAAAAAATATTTGAAGAGTGATAATGCACTAGACTATATGAGAAGGGCTGAAAAAGCGGCAACACTTTTCCTAAAACTGAAGTGCAAGCTGGAGATGTAACCTGAAGGTAAAAAATAATACCGTTAACAAATGTATGTTTGGTGAGAGTACTTCTTATCTACAAGATTCTAGGTAGGATAATTATAGCACATTCGATAATTATATGAAATGGTAACTTATAAATAATAACTATGGTATTTTTTTACATGTTAAGAGAAAAGACACGATAGAGTTTTCTAATCCTTGTCCCTGCATATGAAATTTCAGCCTGATTTAAAGACGAACCTCAAATTAAGAAGCACAGGATTCCCCCAATCCTGGTATGGGATTTAATACATGACCTAATCACAAAACGACACTCACGACACTCATTCTGAATGACCACACCCTTAAGTAAGGTCACCTTAGGTGCATAGAAGGCGGCGATCTCAGAATTTCTACAAATTTTGCTTTAGGACTATCCTCACAGAAGTTATAGACACGGTCAACGTACCATCAATCAGCACCTCTAGTTCCTGAATCAAACTACAGTCCCTATAACATAACCCATTACAGGATGGCTTTTATGGGTCTGGAATTTATTACAGGACCAGCATGTCATGAGTGAATCCGTCCATAATTTGAATTTTCAAGTACGGAAAACTGTGTCGACAGCCCTATCAGATTTCTACAGAAAGATGGTAGAAGCTCTTAAATCGCAGAATGTCTGGTAGCCACCGACAAGATCGGTACAACACCATATGTCTGCATAAATCGGTCATAAATCACAGTCTGCGTTTATGTAACGCTCTCGTCGCTGAATCTGCTGCGATGATCTGAGGCATCAATTCGCATAAAGATTTTTTATATTTGTGCTAGACATTTTCGCTGGACAGGAGATGTTATCTTGGCTATCTGAGAAAAACGGGCGTGGTTTCTCCTTGTTAATTAACCAGCAAAATAAGGATAGTGTATTGTTTTCTTAGGCTACAGTTTTTTCGTATCGAGCGTGAGAACAATGAAAAAAAATCACTGTTTCCATTAAACAGGAAAAATTTTTCATTGCTCCTGCCAAACAGGCAAAGTGCTAATGTATTAGATTATCTTGATGGATCGAGCAGATTATCGGATGTTTCCCATGGCAGGGCCCCCAGTAATGGCGGAGCTCAGGTGAATTGCTTGCCTAGTTGGCCCTATCAGAGAGACCCACCTTTTATGAGGCTCACATTACTACAACGCCGCCTTAATGCAAATCATAAGGGTGCTGAAGCTGCTCATTGCTTGTGCCTTGTAATTTGGCAATACTCTATACTCTACTAGAAATTTGGTCTGCGTAAAATTGAACGTTCACTGTTTACTAATTCGGAATATTCCACTTATACTTTGGGCACCTTAATCACTTGAAAAGAGAAAAAAATATGCCATCAAACTGCGCTTCCGAATGGAATCCTCTAAACTCCTCAAAAAGTGATTTTTGGAAGCGCAAATTTCTAGAAAATATGGTTAATTACGTTAGTGAAAAAAAAATAATGAAAGAATTAGCCAAGAGAGCCTAAAAGTGAAAAAAAGTAAGAACATCTTTGAAAAGAAAAGGCTAGGACTAAAAAATTTGCTGGAAATGTAGCTTACTTATGCAGCACCAGAAAACAACTCGATCTCAGCTGGGGGGGGGGGGGGACCACAAAATACCCTTTCTGTTCGTAATTTTTAAGCAAGAATGCTGGATATGTTACCAAACGGTGAACCGTTCTACCTGCTCCCATAAGCATGAAAATAAAGCAAAAAAATCAGTCAGAATGACAAACGAATCGTATTTTCAGAAAAAATTTCACTTTTTCTGTACAATTTTCGAGGAAATGCAACAATGCACGAAGGCGCTCGCAATACTCATAAAGTGCGTGCCGTAGATCTGTAAACAACTGGCAAACGGCCAAATCACGTGACGATCGAAACTGCGCGGGGCGTGGTCGGAGCTGAATAGGGAGAGGTACGAGTAAGAGAGGCGTCGCCTCTCCGGATACTGGTCGTTTTGCGCATGCTATTGCGTACCATGCGAGGATCAGTAGTCCGCGAGCAGAGACTGACACGATGTTCGTCCCCCTACCTCGACGTGCACTTTCGCCTGTCTTTGGGTCGTTCTCGGAGAGTTTTATTTTCGAAAATGCTTAATCAAATGCAGGAAAATGAGCAACAAGGTAATCCCCGTGGCTGTTTTGCCCAAAACCAGAGTGATTCAGAAACAAGCCTTCAGTAACGAATGAAGGAAGTAGTAAAATATTAGAGCATGGGTACTCATTTTGGAAGGGGACTGTCATCTCAGTTGTGATCAGGAAGGATCAAACAAAAAGGCAGGCAAAAGACGGCCAAAAGCGATTCGAAAAAAATCTGCAGTGCGGAAAACAAGCGGTGCCACCAGAACTGAACTAGGCCAAAAACTGGACTTTGCCGCTCTGCTTAAGCAATGTGTGTAGCTGCGGTCAACCTGACTAGGCGTATCAGTAAATGTCAAGAAGTTGAAGAATGCTGCTTTCTAGAAGAGAAATTTTACTAGTCAGAGTGCTGATCCGGTTGCTGTTCTACCGTACTTGTTTGTTACGATAGTCTTAGTCGATAGGCGTCTTCCTCATCCTTTCTGGCGATTTTTCTTTGTCTCCCCCAACTCAGAAAAATTCATTTTATTTTTCAAAAGTAAAAGTACCATTGATTTATCATCTGTTTTTTCATGCATGGAAAGAATAAATAGTCTACAAATCATTTCTTTTACAGCGGTTGAAAAAATCGTAAGTGAAAAGCGCTGAAAATTTCCTAAGCGAATTTCTACTTCAAATTGTCACTTAGCTAAGGCCTTAATCCTCAATCTCAAAAGATAAGTGTTATTTGCGCGATTTCAAAACTTGCACCGTAGCCTACATAAATTTTCTTATTGTTAGATGAATTTGAGTATGAACAAATTTATTGGAGCTGTTTTTGAAATTATTTAGCTCAAATTCGAGGTTGCTGATTCAAAAATGTTTACGACCAATATTCATATTTCCCTTAAAGCCACTGAAGAACATACGTTCCTCCAATGTGTCCCAATGCGCTTTCTGACAACAACAGGTTGTATTGGGATTTGACCTTGTGTACATTTTAGCTTCCCTTCAAAACTGCGATCGCCAAACAAGGTGCTATTCGGAGGTGTGAATAGATGAGGTGAGAACATACAACAAGAGTCCATCTAACTGCTCGCTTGGAATATTCAAGAAGATTATTTTTTAAAGGAAGCAGGAGCATTCCGATTGATACTGGAGTGCTTTTTGAATGAAATAAAATCTCAGTAGCCGTCTCATTGTGATTAATAAGAACTTTTCATCAATGCGGTTATACTTCAAGGATTTTAGTCTTCAAAAAAATCTGCCTAATTGATACAAGTAGGTGTTCTGCCTTATTAAATGTAGATGTGCAGAATATTGAGTTGCAAAAGTTCTTTCCATTCGTCTGATTAGAAAAACAAGTGGAACAAAGATGGGCAAATATTTCAAAAGCTATTCGAGGTTGTTCTTCCTTTTTCCACTGATTGCATTTTTGGGCTACCCTCTATTGTTACTGACAATGAGATTATCGTCAAAATTTTGAATCCATGCTTTGCACCCGCTGAAGTTTGGCAATTTTTCAAATTTTACGTTTCGAACTTCTGGTAGAGCTTTTATAAGTGGACATAGTGCACGAAGTGCAAAACAGTAACTTTTTTTGGCATCTCCATTTGACTGCACGTAATTTTTGAGAAGATTCTAAGTAGCGAAAGCGCACGAAATTGTAGAAAAAAGGTTACCATTCAGCACTACTGTACGAGTCAAATGAGCACTTCAACTTTAACGGATTTCGAAATTTCGGGTACGGCCAGGCGCGCCCAAATTTTACAGTTAGTTTATTTCATCCGCAGAAGTTCAACAGATCGAAAAAAAAACACCTACAGAAAGAGGAGAAAAAGCTGCACCGAATAACCGGAGTTGCTTGTGTTGGTGTTCTGTGAGGTTTGGCCTCACCAAGGAATTTGTTATCATCAAAAAAATAATTTAAGACATTTTAAAAACTCGGCTGGAGGTGCCAATGGAATTTATTTTATTGCACTTTGTTTGCCCTATTCTCCTATCATTAAAGCTCTATCAGAAATTATAAAAACCTTGAAAAATCGCCAAGCTTTTGTGGGAAAAACCTTGGGTTCGAGTTTTGGCTATTATCTCGATATCACAAGAGGAAATAGCCAAAATACATCACCGCTGGAAAGAGGAAGGAAAATCGCATCGATTAGCTCTTAAATATTTGCCGATCTTCATTTCACTCGTTTTCATGATGGGAAGAAAAAAGGAAAGTTATTCCCGAAGGACCTAATGTAGTATTTTGGATTTTTTAGAGATTTTTAGGCTAGATTGATTGC